TAAATTGCTATCGTTTATTTGATAAATTGAATTAAAAAAGAAATCGTTTTATTAAAATTATTTAATAGGATAAATTCAAATAAAATTTTTAAAAATGATCAGTACAATAATTAGTAGATTTAATTAATATCTAAAAAAAAATTTATTCGTAATTGTAAAAAAAAAACAATTGAATTCTATATAAATCCATTTCATTTTAAATTAATTTAATTTAAATATTATTCCAGATTACGCTTTCTTAAATGAAGAAAAACGATCAGGATGTGTACAATAAAATAACAAATAGCGTTACAGATCTTAATGAAATTATAAAACCAGAATTTAGTTTAAAAAATGTAGGAATTTTTACAATTTTCATAAAAAATATTTTATTCAATTAGATTAATTTTATTTTCAGTATTTTAATGAAATTTTTCATTGAATATAAATCAAAAAAATATAAAAAACAGTAATTTTCTGAAAACATTGATAAAAGAAAATATTGAAAGAAGAAATTTATAACTGAAAAAATTTCGAGAAAAGTAATAAAATAATAAAAAATAATTAATATGCAAAATTTATCTTCTGAAAAGTCAAAATTTTTTAAATTTTTTAATAGAAGAAATAATGATATTTTCGGAGAAAAAGATAAATGTGTCAAATAATACAAAATTGTACATTATAACAAAATGATTGGATTCAATATTTGACTTATAAAAAGTTATTTCACAAAGGATATTCAGAATTTTTGAATATATATAAATAATATGGAAATATTTTATACAAAAAAGAAAATAATTTTTTCTTTTATTATCTATTTATCATATGTTTTTAATATTTTAAAAATATCAAATCCTAAAACATAATCTTATAATCGTACAACATACAGAATTCAATTATATATATTTTTTAAATTTATGATTATTTTTTCTTTTATATTCTTTAATATTATAAATCTATATAAATATTGATGTTTGCAAATATATCTTTTTTTTATTTAGATATTAATTAAATTTTTATGGTATAGTAATTATTCTAAAAAATTTACATCATTTCATCCTTATCATCACTTATCTATACTATTATATTATACTATATATTATTATATATTTTTATAATGGGTCATCTATTGTATCCATATAATTCAAAAATTAGAAAGTGGCTCACTTGTTTTTTCAATAACCGTATAATAATATTTCAACATACAGAAATATAATTTCTGAACATTATATTAATACATTGCATTCTGAAAAAATCATTATTTATATAAATATAAATCATTTAAAAAATATATAAAAAGTGAATAATTTTAAAGTTATATTACATATAACTTTGATTTTTCAACTAAAAACAAATAAAAATAATAATTAATTTATTTTTATGCAATACATAGTATCAAAAGAATTGAAAATTTTATAACTTTTATGAGATCGTGTTATTTCACTCACAAAATTATCTCTCAAAATTATTCTATATTGTTTCAATATCATATTGGACTATTTCAATATTCTATATTGGACTATTCCGTATTCTACAAATAAATTATTCAAAATTTTTCAATTTTCAATATCATATCATAACCAGAAATTTTATTTAAAATATATTTGAATTTATTTGGAATATTTAATTATACAAATAAAATTAATATCAGAAAAAAATATATAAAATATTCATTTATATCGTTATGAAAAATATGTAAAACATATGTTATATAATGTATAAAAATAATATATAAAGTTCATAAATTAAAAATTAAATTAAAGTTAATAAATTATTAATAAATATATTCCTCAATTTATTACAATAAATTATTATTAATTTAATAAAAAAATTATACTTTTTAATTTACCAAACGAAAAGATTAACAATTTTAAAAAAAATTATAATTTTTTTACTAAATATTCCATTTTTTATTAATTAAATTAATAAAAATTAAATAAATTTTAACGAATTTGATTATATTAAATGTTAATATAATTTTTCATATATGTGATTTTATATCGTTTTATTTATTTCTCAATAATATCTATCGTATGAGGATAGTGGCCACATCGTTCCATAAACTAACGAAAATCACGAAGTCATATGATTTTATGAGTCTATCTCTCGATGCTTTGATGAAAATGCACGCATGACCGAAAAAGTCTCGAAGAATCATTGTCTGGAACATGGATCGAATTTACGATCATCACTGTCGATTGAATCGTTGGGTTTGTTGGGCAGATTTTGTTTTTTGGGAATAAAAATTTCGAAATAATGATAACAAAAAAAATTAATAAGAAACAAGAATTAAGAATCTAACGAGAATTCAATAAAAACATGGAACACTCATTAAAAATATTTTTTGAAAAATTTATGAGAACTTGATAGAAACTTGATGGAGATAAATTTTATCAAAATGTATTATAAAAATTCTAGAGAAATTTTCTGAAACTGAATAAAATTCTAAAAAAATTTTTAAAAAATTGTAAGCGAATTCTACAGAAATTTATTATTAATAAAATTATAATAATTCTGAGAGAATTCTTAGAGGGATTTAATGAAAATTATAACAGAATTCAATAAGAATTTCAAGAGAATTAAATAAATTTTACAAATGAATTTTAAATAAAATTATAAATAAATTCTATAGCAACTTTAAGAGAATCTTACAAGAACTTTAGAGAATTTATATATTTAATTTGAGGAATATTATAAATTTCTATATCGTATAATTTGAGGAATATTATAAATTTTTTTAGAAAATTTAATAGTATATAATCTAATTACAAGAAATTTATTTTTATTTTTCCAAGATAATATTTATAAATTATAATAAATAATAAAACGGTTATTTTCTTGTAACATCTATTCTATTATATTCGTTCGAATGAGAAATTACATTTATATGATTTGTTTACGGATAATTCCGTAAATAAAGTGAAAAAAAAAATAGCATCGTGAACGATATTTGTAGAAAACAAATAAGATAAATATAAATATCCTTAAAAAATAGTTCTTTTCAAAATATATTAATTTTTCATCTATTTTTATCAATATACTTTAATTTAAAATCTCAATTTCATAAATAATCGAGTTTATTATACCTTTTAAAAAAACATTAAAAATATTTCATTTATTCATATATAGAATATTTATAAAAAAATTTTAAGAAATTGAAAAATATTAATTGAAATAATAAAATGACACAACAAATAATAAATACATTGCATATTACTATATCTGCATTGATATAAAAAATTTTTTTTTTAATACTTTTTATTTTTTGCATTTAAAATAATATTAATTATATTCTTTAAACTCTTCGTTGAGAAACTGACTAAAAAATGCTATAATGTAATGCACTGCTAATTAATTAAAATAAAATTATTTATAATTGAAAATATAATTGAAATTCTAACAAATTAATTTATTATAAATATTTTATATATCAATATATCAACTTTAATCATATGATTCATGCTCTTCTCAATTTTTGTTTCTTTCATTATCGAGAATTGATTTTCCAATTAATATACCATATTTAATATTTTTTGTATAAATAATTGTATTATTATAAATAATTGTATTATATATATTAATTATTCTATATTATTTACTCTTTTAAATCAATTTAACGTTTTATTTCATTATTCAAATTTCTATTCGAATAACAATAATTGCAACGATTCGAAGCACAATAGGAAACATCCGGAGACAATAAATTTTGTGTGTCGTTCGAAACCGTCTCGTTGCTCGTAAAAGAATTTATTACTAAAGAAACTATTTTTAGGGACTATCAAATAGAAGGATGGAACTCCTCGACACTGAATGAATTGATTCTTTTATCTTTGCTTTGGAAAAAACCAAACTATATTTCTCAACTATAAACATGAATCTTGGGAATAGCTAATCTCTCTTTTTAATCTTTCTTGTGCTAATTTGGTCGATTCTATTTTATGTGAAATCTAGCATTTATGAACTAGTTTTATATATATATAAAAATAAATTTTTTTTTTTGGATCAATTGAGAGACAATAAATTTTCGATAAAATAATTTTAAATTATATTTTAATATAAAATTATATTTTAATATTTAAAATACATTTTAATGGATAAATTTGAATTAGTTTGTAATTAATTATTTTTGTGAATTCAAGAAGAAATGTTCAGAATTCTGACAATATTAGATTATGTGGAAGTTTGCTTGATGCTATCGAAATAAGATGATATAATTAAATGATATGATCAATATTGAATCATATTGATTTTAAGAAAAGAATGTTACGTACTTTCAATTAATAAAAAAACATATTGCTAATGAAAAAAGAATAATCATCGTATATCATATAAATAATTATTAGATTAACAAATTTCTATAATCGAATCGCATTCCAATTGAAAGTAGAGAAAAAGTATAATAATAAATTTTGTTCTGAATGTAATAATATATAAACGATCAAATATCTAAAATAATAAATAGTACATTTTAAAGAATTTGTATTTTCTGAATATTTTTTAATTCCAATTTTTTTTATTTCTGCAAACTATTGTGAAAATATTATAATATAAATAGATATATACTCATTGGATTAAATTAAATTATAAATCTACTTACAATTATCTACTTTCTAAAAATAATTAATTAATATATTAGATAATTCTAATATATAATACAAAAGTTTAAATTGGCTCTATACTCTATATTTTTATAATATATTTTTATTCATTTGACTTTTAAAATGAATAGAATGTTTATTATAATATTATTAAGATGCTAATAACAGAAATTTTAGATCTACATATAAAATATTATTCTCATTTTAAATTATTCACATATTTTTTTTATTTTTTTATTTTCATTTTTGAAATAAAATATAAATTATTAAAATATTATGTAATAATAAAAATTATTTTATTTATTATTTAAGATTTGCATATGTATAAAATGTCATTCCCAAATTATTTACTTATGTTTAGTTATGTTTAGTTATAAAGAACTACGATGTTATAATAATATTATATCTATAAAATTACCATTTATAAAATCTTTATAATATTTTTACTCACTCAACATTCGAATGACATTCCTTTGCGCAGCGCTTTTCCCTCTTCCGCTGTCCCAATGATTCGTAACAACCGATAAATGGTTCCTGTTCACAGTAGCTGTCAACATTCTCGATCGTCTTAGTTTAATCGCGATCAATATATAAAGAACGATGATGATCGTCATAGGTAGGACAAAAAATAACATAGTGGATATCTCGAATGCATGTTCGATCAATGTCCATTTCATCGAGCATCGAGCTGTATCCAGAATTATCGATCCATTTTTGTTTTCATATACAACCCCGAATTGAATCGCCTGTGGCACGGCCAGGCATAGTGCCAATAGCCAAATTACTATGACGAACTTCACTGCACGAGACAGCTTTGACATAGTGTGTGAGATAAAAGGATGACAGATCGCAACATATCTGAAAAAGATAATACACATAGTTAGTATATTTTTTCGTGAAATTTTTTTTTTTTTCATTTGTTAGCAGATTCTAAAAAATTCGACTATGATCGAAACGCGTTAAAAAACCGGAAAATTGAGATTAATGTGAGATGATAGCACATTTCGTGTGCTGTGAATATGTTTATGTATTTTGATATATTCGTTACAATTTGTCATGGTGATTTTCATATAAGATCAACCAGGAAGTATAATAGTTATAATATATGATATATATACGAAATGAAAAAAGTTGTAAATAATTATTTTTTCGACTATATTTTGGGTTTTTATATTTTACAAATAATGATTATACGTGATATTTTTTTTTTTTTGGTACTAATAATCATTATTGATGAAATAAATTTATATTGATTGCTTATTATTAATAAATTGTTCTGATCGAGTAAAATATAAATTAAAAAATTGAAAGTTTAATTGATTGAATGTAATCGAAATAATTTTTTATCGATAATTATTATGAATAATCGAAATAAAATTAATGGATATTGATATAGAAAATTTTTTTTACATATAATCATTATTTGTTATTATAAAAATGTTCATAAATCAATATCATCTGGTTTATAATAGATTTATTGGTTTATAATAAGTGTTTTTTATATTTCATGAATATTATTTTCCATTTAAATGACTTACAAGTTTTTGTTAATGATTTATTTTCTTAGAGCATGTTTTCGGATTTATTAGATACAATCACAATTTTTAAATAATTGTCATTCATGATACAAATATTTTTTATATATTATAAAATTTATATAATTTTATGAAAATAACTAAAAAAATGTAAATAGAAATTTAAAATATTTTTGCATATTAAATATTATTATTATTTTAATATTATAATTTTATATATTTATANATTAATCGGATATAATATTCACATATAAAATATCTAATTAACATCTCAATATCAAAATTATTGCAATTTTAAAAAATAATAATATGATAAAATATACAATACAAATACTGTGAAAAAATAAGAAAATATATATTAGTATTATATAGTATTATATAAAAACACAAAAAAATTTGGAAACAACAGAAAGTGTTTATTTTATATCATCATATCTCCAAAAAATACATGCATATATTTAAAAAATTTATTTATCTCAAATGTCTGCAATCCTAAATACATATACAAATATAATAAGATATTAAAAACATACAATATAACACAAGTATTTTTTAATATAATCGGAGAGTGAAATAAAACTTGAGGATATCAATTATCATGATCTCATCAATTTAATACTTCTTAAAAAACGGAAGAGACAAATAATATAGTAATACTAATATTAATACTAATACTACTACTACTATTAATAATAATAATAAATTATTATATGATAAATGATAAATGAAAATTTTTAAGAAATTTGAACAAGTAGATATTATAATTGAGACAATAAAATCGTGATATAAAAAGATAAAACTAAATAATATTATTTATAATTTATTATTATTATTTTTATTATTAAAATTCTAAGAAAAACAATATAAAATTTCTTTACTTGTCCTCATCTTCGTTTTTCACGGTGAATTAAAGAGAACTGTTCAAAATAAGTCGAGAAAATTCTTAAGTATTCGCAGATTCTCGTTTAGATTTAAGAGAATAAAATATTACTGTGAGAATAATGTTTGTAAAGAAAATTTAAAATATCGTTTTATACAACAATGTCCTATTTTACAAAATCTTAAAAAGAATCGTGCTTAAAAAAACAACAAAATAAATTAAGAATTTTTCAGAAATGATAATTTTTAAAAAATGAAAAATATTCTTTTACAATATTCTTATAACATTTTTAAAAATTTCAAAAATAAAACTAATCTTTACAAAAAATTTCTCTATTTCAATTGAGAACATAAATCTTTTTACTATTCTTTTACTATTATTTCATTCTATAATAAAATTTATAATATTTTAATATTGAAAAAAACAATGTTATAAAATATATTTTTATAAAAATATATCGCGATTGTGCATTTCTATAAAAGTTATTCTTTACAAGAAAATAATCTTTTCATCTAGAAACAATTCAATTTATCTTAATAAAAACATTATTAGTAAAATTAAAATATTTCTTAGAGAAATAATATTATATATTTATATTTATTCACATTAATTTAAATAGAATACAATCTTTATATTTATAATTTTGTACAAAAAAATTATTTAATTAAATATCATGTTACTTCTTTTATAAAATTACTAAAGATTTATTATATTTTAAAAATATATAATTTCTTAGCAACTATAATTAATGTTTAGATATACAATAAATTATAATTGTTACATTTTAATTGTATCATAATAATATTTGTTTATATTCTAGAATTTAAAAATTTATTGTAATTAAATTTCATTATCATTAAAAAATCTTTTATGAATTTTCAAAAATGGCCAATACTTTCATAGATAAAATTTTATAAGATAAAAAACATAATTCACTTCAATTCCTTTGTAAAGATAAAAAGCAATACAGATAATACTGTAGTTATAATTATTATTAATTAAAAATATCAATGATTGATCATAAAAAAACGTTGCTATATTTTATACAAAAAAAATTCATAAATTTGATAGTATTTGAAAAATTTCTCAATCGTATAAAGTCAATTGTCTAACTAAAAAAATCATTAGTAATAGTAATATATTCAGACGAAAGATAAATATTTTTCAGACTCAAAAAATATTTATTATAAATCTCAAATCATTTTACAATAATTTACATCGTATTCAATTATTCGTCATGAGATACAGAGAAACGAAAATTGAAACTTTTTCCCTGGAAATAAGAAAAAAGAAATTTCAAGCTTTTTTTCCGGAAATAAGAAAAAAAAAAAAAAAAAGTGTCATAGTTTTTTACCATTAATAAGAAAAAAAAAAAAAAGAAAATTGAAACTTTTTCCCTGGAAATAAGAAAAAAGAAAGTTCAAGGTTTTTTTCCGGAAATAAAAAAAAAAAAAAAAAGTGTCATAGTTTTTTACCATTAATAAGAAAAAAAAAAAAAAGAAAATTGAAACTTTTTCCCTGGAAATAAGAAAAAAGAAAGTTCAAGGTTTTTTTCCGGAAATAAGAAAAAAAAAATTTCAAGCTTTTTTTCCGGAAATAAGAAAAAAAAAAAAAAAAGAAGAAACTTGAAAGATTCGGAGACAGTCAATTTGTGACAAGCGGAAAAGATTACTTCTGACGGTTCTAGAAAGTTCCGTGTACGAGATGACATATAAGCTTAAGCTTGATGCTTTTAGTCCAGGATGCTTTAGTTTATTGTAGTTATTAAAAGATTAAAAACAGGCTTAGAATTGCATGGTGAAACATTGAGAGATCGATTTACATTTAATAATATTTATTGAAAATTTTGAGGAAAGAAATTTTATTTTCTCTTTTCTTTTTAACAAGAATAATTTTAGAAAGGAAAAATAAAAGTATTAATTCTATTATATCAAATTATATCTTATTTTTTTTATTAATACTTTTACTCTGCACTATTTTACTATTTTTAAATGAAAAATAATTCACTTACATAATAATATTTTTTTTATATTAATATTTATACATTATTTTTACAATAATTTTTTTAAAATATTAGATAGCAAAATCTTCTATTGATTTAAAACTTCACATATAAATAACATAAAAAAGTAATATATTTAATGATATAATCGCTATTATTTTTATGACTTTCTTTCATTATTTAATTAGCTTAATTTAAATTAATTTAAGATTAAATTAATTAAAGAACTCATGCTATAATTATGGAAATTGGAAATAAATATGGAAATAGTTTAAAATATAAATAAATTTTTCTCTAATAATTTTAAGAATATTTTTATATATACATTAAAATAATATAAATTATTTAAATTATTTATATTATTTAAATTATTAAATAAATATAAATAATAAATGTGTTACTAGAAGATTAAAGTTAATTGCTGTTGAAATTTTGATTTCCTTTTTTTTTATTATTTTTTTTAATTAAAGATTAATTATTGATAATTAAAAATTAATTAATATCTCGAAGGATTCTGAAATGTAATTAAAAGAAATTATAGAAATAACTTAAGATTCAATTACAAGATAATGGAATTATAAGATCATATTTTTTTCATATCTTAAGCATAAAAACTTTTTATATCTTTTTATAAAGCTAAAATTAGAAAAATACCGTAAATACTGCGTAAAATGTAATCAAATGATTAAAATAACTAAAGCTTTCAAAATTCCTTCATTCATCAAACCGAACATTCGATTTCGACGTTTCGAAGTGAACGAACTCTTAAACAAAACTGTCTCAATCAATCACCTGTTTCAAAGAATCGGTAAACGAAAGAATATTTACAATCAATTCAAATATCTTTTTAACTCTTTCAACCAGTTTTTCGATAGTCTTTATTCAACGTCAATATTATTTACGATTTTTTTCTTTACATAAAAGAAACAAAAAAGTCAGCAACATAAAAATTTCAATTTATCTCGAATCTATTTAAAAATATTGTTTGTTTTTTTTTGGAATAATATTTGAAAAATTATTATTAAAATAATATTTTAAATTCAAATATATTTAGAATATTATTTAATCTGATTATTGGAAATGAAAGATTTGAAATATGAAATTTTTTTATATTTAATAATAACGAAGCATTTTCGTTAATAAGCTAGATACTATCGAAACATAATTTAGATTTATTTTTATATTTTTATCTATCAAAATATTTCTTATAAGAATATTATTTTATTTTGTCGCTATTTTTATTTATGAATTTGTAATTAAATGTTTTGGTAAGTATCATATACTTTACATTGATATATATATATATATATATGAACAACTTTTTTAACCATATATATATAGTTATTTTCCGAAATAATTTTTTAAATATATATATATATGTATGTAGTCTGTATATATAATATATAGTATAGTATAGTATAATCTATTCAACAAAGTAAAACAACATAAATGTTTATAAATTATTGGCTGTTAATCGAATGTTTTTTGTTGATTGTCACAAGTAAATTATCGTTATTAATATGATTCCTATAATCAGTTTTTAAAATATACTCTTTAAAAATGAATAACTTTAAAATTGAACAAAATGATTTGAATTTTTTTTAAGGTAATTTAAGATTTGGAAGATTAGTTTACTAAATAGTATATAAAAAAATTTTTTAAAATTTATTAAAATTATTTTTTAAAATTATCAAAATGCATGACATATTTTCTTTGCAATTCTGATGCAATTGCAATTTTTTATACATTATTTTTTATACATTATTTAATTCTTCTAACATTTTAAAAAAATTCAAATCAAAATTTGAATTTTAAAAATTAAAATGGATATTTTTTAAAAGCCATTATATATGTAATATTGTAGTTTTAGCTATAAAACATAAAGCATAATCAGCTTAAAGCACTAAGTGAGAGTACTTATCAAAACTTGCATCATAATCATCTTATAGATATCTGAAATTTGTGAATAGAATTTTATGTACTCATAGTGCATAAATACTCGTGCATCAATCACATCTACTTCTTTATATCTATTCATCTTATTAGATAGATTATAGTGGATTGAATGTTAAAAGAAACATAAAAAAATTTAATTAAAATCATGTCAAGAAAAAATTTATAAAAATGTATATATAAATATACATATATTTTTATATATAAATATATAAATATATATAAATGTATATATAAATATCTGTACAGTTAGATTATAAGCAATTTAATTGTGTACTTTCTATTATGAAGTTTTCTATTTTCTAGTTAGAATTCTATATGTATATGTATTTATTAAATTCTGCGTAAATTATACATAAAAACTGCAAGAATCAGAATCTCAGAATAAATTAATATATTCGCTATTATGTATCATATACATACTATGATATTTTATAATTTTTTTTATTTCTTTTTAATTATGTATATATATGGAATTTTTTTATGCTCTTATATAATATAAAGAATGATGAAATATGTTTATTTTTTAAAAAATGATGAAGTTACTGACAACGTATTTTTTATCTTTTTTCATATTATGTAAACTTATTATAATCAAAGTGTGGATGAATTTACACTTTTTTCCGAAAATCTTGAACTTTAATTACATTTTACAATAAAACAGCTAATTCTAAAATTTAAATTTAAAACATTTCTCCAAACAGATTTCACATTTTAATTTTCATTTGATTAATTCATGCTAAATATAAAAATTCATTTTATTATATTCTTCTTATATACTTATATATCTTATATTTTTATATTCTTTTAAAAATGTTCTTCTTATATACTTATCTATCTTATATTCTTATATTCTTTTAAAAATGTTCTATCTAGTTAAAATATTTTATGAATGTTCAAAATATCTTTTTCGAGAAAATTTTCGAAAAAATATTCCAGAGATTTAAAATTTTATCATTTTCCTTGTACCATTTTTTTTTAGATAAATAAATCTGATTTTTTTAGATAAACTTTACATAAACTTATTTAAAAGATAAGTTTTTAACTTATTTAAAAGATAAAAAATATTTTAAAAAATATAATAAAATATTGCAATGTATCTTAGAAAATAAAAGAAGAATAATAAATAAGATATTTTAAATAAAAAAAATAGTATATCTAAAAATAATATATCTAAAAGATTCAGGGAATCGATTTATTTTTTCAAATAAGTTCAATTTTGAATCTAACTTTGAATCTAACAGATGCATTTTAAAACTATGTATAAAATTCAAAAAATCTATTTATTTTCTTAAATAAGATGATTCTAATTAAATTTAAATCTGAAAGATTTATCTTAAAATTTAACAAAAAGTCAAGAATTGATTTACTTTATCAAATAAATAAACTATAATATTTATTGCTTTTATCGATTCGAACTAAATTTAAAATTAAAGAATTTATTTTAATTCTTTCAACACGGCATCGTATTTTTTATACAAATGACTAATTTTTATTTTTGATTATTATAGTATGAATTGGAATTAAAAAATGTTATATAAATGTTTTTTTCTTTTTTTGTCACAGTTATATATATTCCAATAATGTTTTTCATTTTTATTTCAAAAACGATGTTATGATAAACTTTTTATTTTAATTAATTGAATATTTATATTTTATGAACATTAAAATTATATTATAATAAGCAAAGAAATAAATATAGAAAATATTATATTGTTTTATAATTATAATTAATTAAATATTATTTTATTTATAAGTGATATAGTGTAATAAAATAACATTATAACAATTTTGTTTATGATAATATTGCGTTGATCTAATATAGCTAAAGATAAATAGCTTACGAGTAAATGTTACTAAGATAATAATGTATTCATTATTTTATATATTTTATTTTATCGACATATAATATAATCTAATAAAAATCATAAATACAAATATTTACGAAATTTGTGATAAAAATTAAATTTGAAAATAATTTTCAAAAGAATATGAAATACAAATATATTCAATAATATTAATTGTAATATAAATATATATATTTGTGTTAAAAGAGTTAAAATTGGACTTAAAAAGATTCAAAAAATTAATTTACTTTGTTAAATAGATATAACTTTCGAAAACTTTTTACGCACCTCTCGACAGTAAAAGCGGTGATAGTGAGGACAGTGGCATTAGCGGACGTCTCAGCAGCGAAGCTTTGAATAATGCAAAACGCTTCGCCGAACACATACGGGAAATGTGACCAGATATAGTACATCTCCGGTGGCAGACCAGATATCAGCAGCAGTAAATCAGACACGGCCAGGCTAAACAGATAGTAGTTGGTTGCCGTATGCATCGACTTGTTACGCGCGATCACTACGCATGTGGAAATATTACCGACCAAACCGGTGACAAAGATCACCGCATAAATCACAGTGATTGGTAGAACGATATATAATGGATCTCTTCTGATGGATGAATCTTCTTGTTGAAGAAATTCAACTATTGGACTTGTGTAATTATCCAAAATATAATCATTAGGTATCAGTTGTTCCTTGCAATTTTCGCTTATCTCCATCGTGATATCGATTGATTCTTTCATAGATTCGTTTCTTAAAATCATTTTTTCGAATGATGAGATTTCTTGAGATTTTGATGAATTAAATAATCACAATTGGTTTGACTAGCGAATTAACTTTAATAAGCCTCATTCATTCTCAAATCAAATTATCATTTTTATGTATATTCACTATAATTATAATTTAATGGCTTAATGATTCAATATTTTGAAAGAAGAAGAGGAATCTTTGGTATTTCTCGACGATGATTAAGTAAATTTTGGCCAATTTGAACACTAATTAATGATATCGATCTGATATGTATTCGTGTATCTATCATTGATACTATTGATGTCATCCAATTGTTAAATTGTGGATTTGATTTTTTTGATCTCCATTAAGTTGATTTTATTAAATTTTTGTAAAAAAAAAAAAAAAAAAAAAATAAAAGAGATATGGATTGTTAAATTGTTAGAATTAAGAAACTCATTTAGTTCGAATATTTATGGATACTGATGAATCGATTTGAGATTTTAAAAATAAATCATTCCGTCATTCACTTGAAACATGGTCGGCCACTATCCTTAGGGACAAAGTGACGAATAGAAAATATTGTTTGTCTCGAAGACATATTAATAGAAAATCGTTAACGCTGCAGATTGGATTTACTATGGTTCTTTAGATCTGCAAAATGACCAAGCCACGCGTGGAAGCGAAATCATCTTCCGAGCAAGATATTTCTGAGCGATGGGATTCTCTTGACTTCTTTAAACAAATTTCACGAATTGAATTCTCAATTAAATGATGAAATAAATTTAAGTATTTTGAATTTCTTAATTTTTTAAAAATAATTTTTCTATGAATATTATTTTAATTTTTTAAACAAATTTTTATATTTTTTTATTAAACTTATTGGGAGATAAGTATTATAAATATTTATTTTTTTCTGAGATTTTTAATCTAAATAATTAGATTAGTAATATATTAATATATTTTCAATATTTTATAAATATAAATCTAAATGATAGATTTATTTTCATTATAAGAATTTGATTAATTCTATATTCTATTTGATTAATTCGCGCCAATTTAGAATCAATTTAGATTCTCATGTTCAATCATATCGGAATTGAATTATGTCGGTATAATTGAGTTTGAACCAAATATTGTTTGTAAATCGATTTTTTAATGGTGAAAATTCTTTGAAATAATAATTGAAATTTGAAATTACAATTTGTATGTTACTTTATTTTTATACCGTATCATTAATATTTTTGATATAATTAATATATGACATTATAACGTAAAACGATTTAATTTCATTTAATTATCGAATGAATCATAAACATAACAGAAAATATTTGTAAATTTTGTTTTTATATGTAAATTTTGTCTTTTCTTTTTTTCATCCTGATAATCAATTCATTATTAACTGCAGCATTAATTACTCGATCGTCTAATTAAATCAAACTATCTTGTTTATAAATCAATTATTTTTTATTTCTTTTTAAATTATTTAAATCGTTTTTCTTTATGATTGAAAACTTTAATTCTTTGTTTATGGAAACAAAATGAACATATTTAAATAAATAAATAAGAAACTTGAAATATTGAAAATTCTTTCAAAAATTTAAAAAGTTTTTTAATTTTTAAGAAAAAAATGTGAAATATTAAAAAATATAAATATTGTAATATTGTAAAATAAATATTTTAAAATAAAAATTGTTAAGTATTAAAAAATATTAAATAAAGTAAAAATTGTGAAAAATATGAAACATTAAAAAAATTTCAAAAAATAAAGAATAATATGAAAAATGTGGATCAAAAATCAAAAATTAAAAATCAAAAAATAATTATTGTAAAACAGATAAAATAAATTAAATTATATTAAAAATTATAAAAAGAAAATTGTAAAATATCGAATCATTTGTTAGAATATACGTATATATAATTCACAATACTTTTCTCAAAATTTGCATTGTTACAATCTTGTTTTGTTCTAATAAAAAATTAATAACAAGACAATTGATTTCTAGATAATTTTATAGAATAATAATTTATTTTAATATAATTAATATTCATTTTAATATTTATTTTATTTTAATTTAATTTTATTATGAGAATCTGCTAATATAATTTTGATATCAATTTGCCTCATATCACCTCATATCAATTTGCAACAATTATTAAATTTCTCAATTTATCATGAATGATTTATCATTGCAATGATTCTGATATATTACATTTGTGACTAATACACATATGATCATAAAAATTTATTTATTATATTTTCAATTATTGAAATATTTCAAAATAATACAGTCTTTTTCTCTTGTTTCTTTTCCAGACAATAATGAATTCATCATTTTTTTCTATTATTTAGAAAAATTCTTTTTTTTTTTATTTGTATTTTTTGTTTGTTTTAAACTAGAAATAATTGAAGTATTTTTAATTATTTCTAATCGAATTATTTTTTCTTTTAATAGTTATAATGGATTATATATTTAATTAATTCTTGTTTTTCTTATAATTATTAATATTAAATTAAATGTATTTAATTAAATGTGAGACATTTTGAATTTATATAATTTCTTTTTATATGAATTTAATATATCATATTCTGAATAATTATTTCATTTTTCATGCACAGATTTTCTAAATTACTCAAAAATGGTATTATATTTTAAAGATGTATTAAGTTTGAAATAATTTCTTCTTTTAATTTATTAATGAATTAATAATTAAAATTAATTTAATTAATTTATTAATTGGAACCAATAGATAATATTTTTTTAAATATGTAAAATAATTATTTAAAATATTTTTTTATAATATTATATTAATTATTATATATAATATTATATTAATTATATTAATTCTTTTAATTCAAGAATTTTATATTCTGTTTCT